TAAGGTAAATTACTATCATCACTTTTAACACCTCTACAAACTTCAGCATAACTAAAAAATAATAATAATTTAAAAAACAAAAAAATAAAAAATATCACTAACTAGAATTTAATATTTGTTCATAGGCTTGGGGAATGAAATTTACATAAAGTGAAATGCATCAATCTGAAGTGCACTCTTTGATGCATTTCTGACAAACGTTTGCTCCCGTGTAGCATAACCCCTCACTCAAGACGTATAACATTACTACCACTCCAGAAAATTCCCTCATGTTTCTTCCCTGTCAGTACTCACCCTCTAACTCCCTTGAGGTTCCAATTTTTTTTATCTGCAAATTAGTTTTGCTGATTTTAGAACATCATATAAATAGAATCGTGTGCTATCTTTTGGGTAAGCCTTCTTTTATTTAGCACAATGTTTTTAAGATTCACTCAGTTTTTTCATAAATCAGTAGTTTGTTCCTTTTAGTGCTGGATAGTATTCTGCTATAGAGATAGGCCATAGTTTGTTTTCTACACGCCCATTGATAATCACCTGGACTATTTACATTTTGGGCTATTATGAGCAAAGCTAGTATAAACAAATCTTTTCACTTCTCCTATGTAAGCACCCAGGCATGCCAGGTAAAATAGTAAATGTACATTTAGTTTTACAAAAATTGCAGACCTTTATTCAAATTGACTTCCATGTTATATATCCCCACAAACAGTGTATGAAAAGTTCTATCTGTTCTCTATCCTCACCAACATCTGGAGTTATCAGTCTTTTTAATTTCAATATTTTAGTGGATGCGTCTTTTCTTTTTTTTTTTTCTTTTCTTTTTAATGATGTTATGAGATGCTGGGGCCAGAAATAAGAAGGTAAAAATAACTTTACAGCTTATATGAGAACCTCATTTATAATAGAGAGTAGACTAAGAATAAAACCGGATGATGGGTTGTAGCAGGCCTTCGTGGTATATTTTTAAATTAAATCTTGTTCTACAAAATTCCATGGATACCCATTAAAATTATATTTGTTTCTGAGAGCATGCTGGGGAAGGATGTCCTAGAAATATTCAGTCCCGTAATTTATATGTCTTTGCTCCAAAACAAAAGCTGGCGAAGAAACTTCTGCAAAGGACCATTTCAAAAATTGCATCTCATCAGGCAGTAGTGGGGAAAAAATGAGAATAAGATTCAGTCATTAGGGAACATTACTTTTTATATTTGCCCCGTATTTCATGCGATCATTCTCAAAGTTGTAAAAAAAAAAAAATCAGGAAAATGAAGAAACATACAAGCCATCTAATTTTTCATTCTATCCTTCTCTTGAAAAAGAAAATGTGAGAATGTGCAATGATCATTATGATGTTCTGTGTAAATAGCAATTTTACATCCTAGGTAAATGCAGGTAAGAATTTCTCTAAAAATGCTGAAAAAACATCTGGAAGAAATGAGTCCATTTTCCATGTTTACTGGTGATTTTTCTAAGAAAACTTTTTAAACTTAGGTATTTTTCTCAAATTATAGTACAATGTCTGTAATTTTATGGAGACCCAGATTTTGGAAAGAGACAGATGACCCTATCCTAGTAGTTTCAGGCTTCTAGAGTTTGCTTTATAAGATAAGACTGATGCAACTACTAAAAATGCAGATTCCCAGGCATTCCCCTAGAAAGTCTAATTCAGTAGGGATGAGGCCTCAGAATCCATCTGTTTTCAGACCAGTAGCCTAGATCGTTGTTGTTTTTTAAGATTTTATTTATTTTTTTATTTTTTTGAGAAAGAGAGAACACAGGGGGAAGTGGGCAGGGACAAGAAAGAGAACCTCAAGCAGACTCCCCGATCCACAAGGAGCACAACGGAGGGTTTGAGCTCAGGACCCTGAGATCACATCCCAAGCTGAAATCCAGAATCCATCACTTGATCAACTGTGCCACCCAGGTACTACAACCCAGATTGGTTCTTATCCTTGAGTAAGTTTTGTATAGGACAGAGCCCTCCAGGGACTATATGCTGCACATCTGTACTCCACCACTGCACCATTTCACTGCTGGGGGGGTCCAAAATCATACACCAGCAGATTTGGTTTCTCGTGAGAGCCCACTTCCTCATGGACAATGCCTTTTTCCTGTGTCTTCACAGTGTGGAAGGTAAGAGCTAGCTCTCTGAAGTCTCTTTTAGGAAGGCACTCATCCCAATCCTGAGGGCTCTACCCCACGACCTAACCACCTTCCAAAGGCCCCATCTGCTAATTCCATCATCTTAAAGGTAGGATGTTGACAAGTGAATTTTAGGGGGACATAAATATTCAGAACACAGCAGTCAGGAATGCTTACCTACAGTATTTTGTTTAACCTACGTTAAGAACCTCAAACAGTCTCTAGTCTACAAAAGCCCTTAATAAGTTTTTGTAAATTGGAGTACCTCTCCAGTTGCTCTACTGAAGCAATTACATTTTTTAAACATGGTAATTAAAATGTTTAAAAATAAATTAGTTTTTGTGGCACCTGGGTGGCTCAGTCGGTTAAGCATCTGCCTTTAGCTCAGGTCATGATCTCAAGGTCCTGAGATCAATTCCCGGGTCAGAGCCTCTGCTCAACAGGGAGTCTACTTGTTCTTCTGTCCCTCCCCCATGCTTGTGTGCTTGCTCTCCCTCTCTCAAAAAAATAAATGAAAAATCTTAAAAATAAAAAAAATAAATTTTTGTAAATTAATATGTGCATTCAGGGTCCTGCTAAGATTCATGTACATGCATATAAAATCACTTTGTAAGCCAAATATTCCCTATTCAGATATCTTATTACTATTATGCTACTATTATAAAATACATAACTTCACCTAAAAATATAAAAGTATTTTTATACAGAATGCATTTGATGTCAATAGCAGTGTTGATTTGCTCATCCAATTTTATTACATTTACTAATAAATGAAATATTAGATAACCATTGCACACCATAAGCTCCTTATAGATAAAAACTTAGTAGTTTAAATTCTCAGTTAAAAATGTTGGAGGGACGCCTGGGTGGCTCAGTGGTTGAATATCTGCCTTTGGCTCAGGTCATGATCCTGGGGTCCTAGGATCAAGTCCCACATAAATCTTTAATACAAATCTTTAAAAAAAAAAGTTGGAAAATCTGCAAGTGATTAAAATTTCCATGTTATTGTTTTCATAATCTCAATATTAGATACAAGCAATCCATTTACCAATCTGAAGAAGAATCTAGATTTGTATGCTTCTGTATCAAGTTGTTCCTGCTTTAAGGCAATTCAGTAATTCTGCTTATTGATGACATTAATCTGAATGTCAAGTTCTTCCCAACCTCTTTACTGTCACTTCACCACAAACAATACTTAGTAGAAAATGAAAGTTGAGTTGAATTACTTTTATTTTCATTCAATAGCTTCTCCTTGCTCAATACCATTCTGCTCCTGATGAACCCTATGACCATAGCACTCATCACGAATAAACACCCAAAGCTGAACCTCATTAGCCATATATGCAGTTCTGATGTATAAGGTAGAAATTAATAGAGACCTTTCCACTTCTGTTGAATATAATCATTACTGCAAAACTTCTCATTTCATAAGCATGGATGACTGGACTTTACAGCTGATATAAATGCCAACACCAGTAAGAGGAATAATCATTTCTGTCATTTAAAAACATACTGTGTTCTCTGCACTGCTCTAAACACTCATTTACACCTCACAGCCATCCTCTGGGAGGACTATGATTGTCCCCAATTTATGGCAGAAGAAACTAGCCAAGAAAGGCACACATCACACATGTTTTATCAAAAATACAAAGCCCAACACTCGACTCCAAATGGACACATTCCTTGATCTACAACTTATTCTGCCTCAGGATGGTTTTAATGACCTAGTTTCTCTAGAAGAAGATGAACAGCAGGTGTTCAAGAGACGGTATTGCAAGGTTGATGTAGTAGAAAAATCAATTTTTAATATGTAGAGGAAAAGGCAAATGGTAAAGTTAGAGGAAACCTAGAAGCTAAGAATTATATGCTTTTATATTAATTTTGAGTAAATATTTTCATACAGTTGGTGCCCCCTGTCTGAGGGCAAGGTTTTTTATTTAACCAAGTCCCAAGGCTTTTATGTACATTTTTTTATTGAGATAGAATCCACATGTCATAAAATTTACCATACACACTACCATACGAATGAATCTTAAAAACACTATCCTAAGTGACACAAAATGCCACATATGTTATGATTCCATTTATATTAGGTGTCCAGAATATAAAAATCCAGAGATAAAAAATAGATTAATAATTTCCAGGGCAGGGAGAGAAGCTTACATGGGGAGTGACTGCTGATGAGTAAAGTGTTTCTTTCTGAAATGGTGAATATAATCTAGAACAAGACAGTGATGATGACTGAAATGTAATTTAATGTTGATGGCTTGTAAAAGAAAAGGGCTTGAACAAATCTGAAATAGGACCAAAAGGGTCACTGGCCATTCTTGGTTAGCAGAAACACTACCCTTAATTTCTTCATCCTTTTGGAGAAAGCCAGTAAACATTCAATAGGTACATGAACCTAAGCACAAATGGGAAAGTGAGCTACAGGAAAATATGAATGCGCAGACTTCTTGATGGTTAGCACACATTTTAAAAGTTCGAATCTGTAATCTATTTGCATTTATAATTATAGCTAAATGTGTCTCAGTATTTAATTGCCCTCTGCATTTATTTTTAAAAACCTGAAGAAATAAATAGAAGCCCAACAAGATACCTTATTTCTATGTCACTTCATTAACATCCAATATCTCCAGACCACTTAATCATTTTATGAGTTACATGAAAGAAGCAAGTCTAAAAACCCAGAATAATACTATCCTGCCAAAAACACACAAAAAAACTGAGGAGCCCAAATGTTAACGACAAAAAAAAAATTTTGATGAACTAATTTAATTTGAAATAGTCAGAAAAAATGATGATAGCAACATAAATGCAGATACTCCAATGGAAAAAAAACAAAACCAGACACTTACCTGTATCCATTAGTTCTGATACTTGTTTCTTTAAGCTCGTCTTCTGATACATTGCTATTCTCTATAGTAATACACCAAAAGTGACAGAGGAGGGCCAGGTCCCTGAGCAAGGGTATGTTTTCCTGCTTCAGTCTCAAGAACCTAGAGCTGGGAGACAGCCTCAAGACTGCTTAAGTGGATAAATGACTATCTGAAAACAAACAAAAAATCAGATGGCCATTTGCTTAATTATAAGCATCTCCAGAGACCAAGAATTTGAATTGAGCACAAGCAAAAATAAACAGTTAAATATCTGATAGAAAACATTTTTTAACAAAATCATAAATGCAAAGACTGTATATTTTCATTATTAGCTTCAACCTAAATGTTTCTACACTCATTGAACCAAATCTAAGATAAAACCCACTGAACTAAATCTAACACAGATCTCGTGTAAAAATTAGACCGGAAGTGAAGCAAAATCAATCACATTTTCCGTGAGTTATAATTCTGGCAAGACTGGAAGAGAACTCACCCCTCCCCATCATTGTTTGTAACAGTCCCATAGCCAAATGGCTCCTCTGCCCCTTGAACTCATTTCCATAGGCTGGCATGTGAATTGTTACTGTAATAAGAGATCTGCCTCAGGCCACCATAATGGCAGTGGAGTTGGGGAAAAGATGGGGTCATAGGATCCCTATTTTGAGACTCCCCAACCCAGCCAGACTGCATAAAACCACACACCAACGACTTCACAGAGATTCCATCCAGAGTCAAATAGTCAAACAGTTTGGGTTCAGTTCAAAGAACTATCCATGCTTAGAGAAGAATCAGCCACAGGGCCCATTTATAAGAACATGAGCCATTTAAAAAAAAAAAAAAAACTAAATGAGCAGGCATTCTTAGTTCTCCATTGGCAAAGTACCTTCTATTTATTTTTTTAAACATATTCAGAGAAAATTACTATTCATTCCTTCCTTTACCAAACATGCCCTAATAGTATAAGGAACAAAGAATGCTCTTTGTTCTAATACAATGGCAGTAGTCAGAATAGCACGGTTTATTTTGAACAGTCTCTAATGTAAATAAAAGAACAAAAATAATTCATTTATCTTCCTCATCGGAATAAAATTTTCCCATCAAATCACACACAAATCGCAAAATTCAGTGAGACATTTCATCCAAGGATAAACCCAAGGATGTCTTGCCACTTAAAATAATCAGACATAGTAAATAATACTTCCTGAAAATAAAATTGTTTTTTTCTACCACAAAACGCAGTCACTCACTCAAGAAGGCAAGACCCTTCTAAATAGGTCATAACAAGATCGTTGTTGGCAAGCTTCGGATTGAAAATTATTTTACTAAAATATCATGGCTATGACATTACATGTTAATGGATTACAAAAATATTTTCTCCTAAATCATCCTGTCTCTTCACATTTATTACCAGTTACTTAGTATCTGCCCTAATCTATTCTTCATCAAAAGCCCCAAAGACATTTTAAATACTTAAAGACTTGGGATCCCTGGGTGGCGCAGCGGTTTAGCGCCTGCCTTTGGCTCAGGGCGCGATCCTGGAGACCCGGGATCGAATCCCACGTCGGGCTCCCGGTGCATGGAGCCTGCTTCTCCCTCTGCCTGTGTCTCTGCCTCTCTCTCTCTCTGTGACTATCATAAATAAATAAATAAATAAATAAATAAATAAATAAATAAATAAATAAATACTTAAAGACTCAAATGGAAACTCAAGTCCTCCACCTGGCCTGCAAGTCCTTTTATAACTGGCTGAGCTTCTTTGTAAGGTTCCCACGTTCTTGCCCTTTATGCTATGAGATGTCTTCCCTGACCATCCTCCTTAAAGAAGAGTCTCCTAAAGAAGAGTGGTTTTTCATAATACTAATTAATATTACCGCTAACCACAATACTAATTGCAACTTCTGGTTTTATTAGTTTATGTATTTATCTAGTTGTCTCTCTTATTCAAGCATGAAACCTGTCTGTGTCCAGGCCCAGGATAGTACATTAGCTAGGTAGATGTTTATAAAGTATGTGCCAAATATGTAAATGAAAGGACGAATGAATAAATGAGTTGCTTCAACCTCTCAAAAACAATGACACACTCGCATGCACAGAGCATTTCGGCTTGTGGTAAAGATACTTTTCCAGGCTCCTGCACCACTGAGTGAAGAACTGCAGGTGTGTTGTTCACCTCATGCTAAGCTGCTAGGTGTTCAGTCAACCTGGAATAAGCGCACGGAACAACCAGCGATAAATGATGCACCTCCCCAAACACACCACCATCACCTTGGAAAGCTAGGACAGGCGGACAGGCTCAGTAGCAACAGAAGCAAGGCTGATATTTACTGGAACTCATGACTTGCCTCGACTGATGCCCTCCATCTGGCCAACTAATGAGGAAAGAGAGAGAAAAAGAATAAGCTAGGAAGTTTTGGAGAACAGGCTGTTTCCAAAGTCAGACAAGTAAGGAGCATAATTACCTCCTCCCATATTCCACTGGCCCGGACTCAGTCACCTGGTTCCACCTAACTGCAGGGGAAGCTGGGAAACATAGTTTACCGGTGAGCCGGGAAGGAAAAATAAATTTTCCTATGAAGATTGTTATAGACAAGTTTTTTGTATTTACTACTCATTCATACTCAAGGTGAGGTACTACTTAAAAGCTGACATAAACTCAGTGTATGTGTGATGAGGGGCATGGGGAGAAAAAAAGAAATTGCCCTCCCCCTGGGTAGAACCATCACCTGACAATATCTATAGGTCTTGGGCTGGTCAGTGTCCCAGAAACCAGAGAAAATTAGCTAAGAGTTAAAAGTCTTTTCTTAAAAAAAAAAAAAAAAATCTAGAATTTTCACCATTCAACAGGAAATGCTCATTTAATCCTTATTTTCAGTATGGCATTCACACTTTGAACATGGTGTGTCCAGTTCAGAATCCCTTTGGTTCATCCTTACCTGAGAATAAATATCCGGCTTTATTATTAACACCAAAAAGTCAACTGAAAATGTGGGGGCAAGTAAGGCATCCTGGAACCCAACTTCTTTAACCATTCTCCTTGTTTTGAGCCTTCTGATATCTGCACATTTATAGGTACCTAACACCAAATTCTTCTCAGGTTTTTCATGATGATTGGCCAGGTCAATTACTGCTTTTCTTTCTGATTTCTAGCTTCAGAAAACTACACTTGTAGGGTCTTCTTTCTCTTTGTAGGGTCATGCCTTCTTTTCCCTCCTCTTTAATGGAGCTGTGAGAGGGGGTGGAGATAAACATGCACATTCAGTCTGCTATGTTGAATTTGGAGACCTGGCATATCATGTACTTTTCTCTATTGTTAGGAACAGATTGTGTCATTTTAAATCTTTCCATTGTACTCAACATTGAGCTAGACTGTAGTATCCCACACATAATCCCTGATCCAAGGATCTTTGTGAAATTCATCCATCCTTAATTAGGGTAACACTATGTGTTTAGATATATTCTTTCTAGGTTATTTTATATTTTCTATTAACCAGCAATGGGTTTTATTTTTTGGTGGTGGTGTAAATTTTTATCTCTAGTGGTTTAGAATCTTCTGCATCCTATTTCTCTTTTTTCAAGTACTGCCTCTACATTTTTAATAGGCCTGCCAAAATCTATATTCTTCTATAGTTACATGAAACAAATCAATATTTATATTTTTCCCCAAACAGGAAAAGAAGCTTAGCACTGAATCACTTTACCAATCCCACAATATGTCAGGTCATAAGCTATGGGACTTTAGTTCCAGATAGGTTACTATGAATTGTTTTCCGCATTATACATCAAGGATTAATATGGTAATTCTAGGTTTCATGGGTTGTGTTTACCTGTCAATTTCTTATATCTCAGGCCTTATTCTTTCTCTGATTCATTTTCAGTTTACTGCAATATATCCTTGAGTAAATATTTCAGAGAATGCGTGTGGTTGGTAAACCTTCTAGGTTCTAGCAGGTCCTAAATTTTCTTTCTCCTGCTCCTACACTTAAGTGTTGTTTGCCTGGGTATGGTATTCTACAATCAAAATTATTTTAAATCACGACTTGGATAATTATTTTTCCTTTTATTCTAGTACCCAGTGCTGCTAATGACAAATCTTTTAGGAAAGTAGGGGGTTGGGGGTTTTGTCTGTTTGTTTTCTGCTCTGGACACTTTTAGGATTTTCTTTATATCTTAGAGATTTTGATAGTGGACACATTAAGATGTATCCAGATATGAGCCCTTCTAAAAAATTTATCCTGTTCAACACTAAAGAAGACGTGCCATTCTTCAGAGTGTCAGATATATTTTCTTCAGATATATTTTCCCCTTTTTTTCTAATTTCTGTCATTGCCCTGCTTTCTGTCACAACATAACAAACCACCTCAAAACTTCAAGGCTTGGGGATCCCTGGGTGGCGCAGCAGTTTGGCGCCTGCCTTTGGCCCAGGGCGTGATCCTGGAGACCCGGGATCGAATCCCACGTCGGGCTCCCGGTGCATGGAGCCTGCTTCTCCCTCTGCCTGTGTCTCTGCCTCTCTCTCTCTGTGACTATCATAAATAAAAAAAATTTTTTTTAAACTTCAAGGCTTAAAACAACATTTCATTATGTCTCAGAATTCTGTGGATTAGCTGGATGGTTCTTCTGCTGGCCTTGCCTGAGGTCACTCAAGCAGGTGGCTTTCAGCTGGCACGTCAGCTGGGGCTGGGCTCAACTGCAACATGCTCTCCACCTGGGCTTCTTCATCATATGTGAGTCTCAATGTAACATCCTAAGAGGACAGACATAGAAATCTCAAGGGCCTCTAAAGTCTAAATGAAGTTGCAGATCCTCTCCCTCATTTTCTATTGGTCAAAGCAAGTGACAAGAACAACCTAGCTTGAAAATTAGGGAAACAGACTCCGTATCTCACTGGGAGGGACTTCAGAGAATCTGTGGACATATTTAACCTCCCACACTTGTTTTGACTTCTTTGGGACCTTTTACCAGATAGAAGTTAGACTCCCAATGTCTCCAAACTGTTCTGTCATTGGCCTAGAAAATGGGTCTTTGATTCACCCAATCTTTTTGCAAACACCCAGGAAATTACTGGAATAGTATACATTCATTATTCACTCCTCATGAACAGATGGACTTGTAGCCAGAGTTTTTTGGAAAGGTGAGGTACCAGGGAATGGGGATGGGCAGATGGGTACCCCATGAGGTATTAAACACCTCCAAATCCCTAAGGGAATAGTGAAATGAAGCTTCTCGATGACTCATGTTGGCAGAACTATGATCCTGGCAGGTCTGTGAGCAGTTCTATGTTTTTGTGGACCTTAAAGAACCAAGAATCTGTACCTCTTTGGGGAGCCATCAACATTCCCCTTTG